GGTGTCATCACTATTTGATAGTGATTCATAAACACCTGGTGGCCTCACTATTTGATAGTGATTCATAAACACCTGTTGTCATCACTATTTGATAGTGATTCATAAACACCTGGTGTCATCACTATTTGATAGTGATTCATAAACACATGCTCATGATATAGCGAGAATCAAACACCAGACTCTTATTTTGGCAGAGATTTCTTATTGTTATGGAAATGGTTGTGTTGCTTTTATTTACTGGTGATAAAAGACACAATCAAGTAAAAATACTGAGAAAGATGAATTGTTTGATAGGCATTACTTAGAAGTTGACAGATGACAAAGTTGACGGATGACAAAGTAGTCACAATTTATGGATAGCAACTTCTTTAATACTGTAAAGGCAACATTTTGATATGGATACTCATACCGTTGTCAAATACTCAAGTACTCATGGTATCCCACTCATGTATGCAATTGTTGTCACTGTTAATCCTCTACCCACTATATATATTCCGTACAATGTTCCTCATTCAGTCTTGCTTGACAACGGTATATTTAGGATCTATACCAAAATGTCGACTTTACAGTATTAAAGAAATTGTTATCCATAAATTGTGTCTACTTTGACTGAGAAAGATGATATGTTTATATTTGCATACTAGCCATAGGCGAAACATATAGATTAAACCATGGAACAACTGCCAGAAGTAATATTTTAATGATTGCCATGGAAACGAAACTATGGATGGCGATTATTTAAACATGAGTGAAATCCTCCATCCGAAGTATCAGGTGCAACACTCTCACTGGTTCAAAGAAGCAGAGTGAACATATAACAAAGCATAAGTTTACAGGTGCAGCATAGATCAATACCAATCACGAAAATAGCTTTTTCAATACGGTTGCCAAGTAAACAAAAAAATACTTCACATGGAGACCTTGAGAAGAGAGCACTCTTGAGAGCGAGCATCCATATTTTTAACTTTACTTCATTTTCAGTCTTAGCTCTTTTAAACGTTTCTTTAACTACCTTTCTTCATTCAAAAATGAAAGAAATATTTCTTCACTATCTGATCTCTTAAAAAGACATCAGCCACTTCATGAGTTTGCGACAGCTGCATATAACATCCCTCAATCCATCAAGCATATCTGGAGTAGGAATTAAAACATGAAGTGTTGCGAGAACACCCACAACAGATCCCCTGCTGATTGCCTATTGTGGGATAGGACCCGAACTGACAATACATATAACTACCATCCATACCAAGTTTCAAGTTCCTGAATTGGTTTAAATAAGAATGAGTAGCCAATTTTGATGTCTCCAACAAGGCGGAGCTGCTTTAGACATCGGCACCCAATGCCATCAAGAGGATCTGGAGAGGAAGCATTATCGGAAAAAATGTAAGCAATATTGTGTGTTTAGCTACCAAGTGCGACGTAATAGTTTCAAATGTAATGTAAATTCAGTAACTATCGTCGTAACAGCGGTTCGCATTGGAATCACCACACAGCCGCTATCGGAACCGAAAGCGTCGGTATACAAGCACATTCAGTATTAGCCGTTAAATTCTGCATTTCGCTGAACTACAACAAAACTCACTGTTGTCACAGCGTTCAGCACGAGAAACAAGGCTGACAGTAGCGGAGAAGAGATATGAGGAAGTGTTTTAATAAACCCTTGTTTCCAAAGATTGTAATTCTAATTAAGAATTAATTCGCATTATCAATGTATTTTGATGGAGTCGAATGGAGAGCGTATCTGTCATAGAGCCAGATAAATGACGTGATCCATAATTTTATTCACTGATTACGTCTTAGAGCTAGATCTAACATTTGCCCAATAACTGTTGATATAACAGGGTTAATAAAAAATTCAGTCAATGTCAACACTAGGCATTTCGTCTGTGGCTGATGGCACTTAAACAATAATTTTAATTTATATGTATTTTTTTAACATATACCATTTAATACTAGATCATGATGGATGTGTTTTGGCTGCCACAGAGTTGCCAAGATTGCTGGGATCAGGTGGGCGGATGGGCAAGATGTCAGACTTCTTCAATGTGTTCGGAGACCATACCTGACTACTGCCCATTTATTTGCAATAACTATTACAAGAAAGCACGTCTCCTACTTCAGATAACAGATTCTGATGCATATGAATGCTGGTTGCTCAATGCCATGGATTTTATGCTTTATAGTCAAGGCTTTGAGTCAGACTAACCAAAAGAAATTACATCTCTTGTCACTTATTAGTTTATTGCTGCCATTTCTTGCATGTTTTTCAGGATGAGTCATTGTCAAGTAACTACGATAGGCTTTTGATGGATACAGAGGAAGTTATTTCCCCACATTTGACCAAGTTTCCCATACTGACCGATGTCGAAACCGAAAGTGTTTCTCTTTGTTTGCATAGTAAATGCATTCGGTTCCAATGCAGAAGCTATGCCACCAGAAAGCCTTACCTTAAACCTATTGAACACTTCTTAGTCAAATAGATAGGAGGGCCTGATTATGGACTGCAGACACGTTGCGGCCAGTTAGTCTAGGGAAACCAAAGAACCAGTCTCTATCATTTAGGGGCGGTCGGGTAGCCTAGTGGTTAAAGTGTTCGCTCGTCACGCCGAAGACCCGGGTTCGATTCCCGACATGTGTGAAGCCCATTTCTGGTGTCCCCCGCCGTGATATTGCTGGAATATTGCTAAAAGCGATGTAAACCATACTCACTCACTCACTCTATCGTTGAGTAACAAATTTAAGAAACAGAAGCTCACGTGGTACAGGCTCACTAAAGTGAGTGAGTGAGTGAGTGAGTGAGTGAGTGAGTCGGGTATAACTCTGCTATGAACATTATTTCAGTAACATGTATGTAAGTCTGTGTCAGCTAGATGTGGGAAGAGCACCAGAAGTTATGCAGGCCTTGGGTGTTGACTGCTTTGGAGAAACTCACAAGCAAGGGTGTGGAGGAGGGTATTGAAACCAGGGTATGATAACCTAGAAACACAATCAGGGTCAATGGGGGATTCAAACCCACGATTATTGGTTTCTGTCATGCCTAAGGGGCGTAACTCCACACACTGAATTTGTAAGCGTGATGTATTTTAAGTTCTAGAAACATACTATGGACATAATCGAATCTAAGTGAGGTGAGGTGAAATTGGGTTTTAATGTCGCGTCCAAGATTATTGCATATATATAGCAACGTGCATGCACGTATGTGTGTGGCTGCTTGTACTTGTCCGGACTGATGCCGATTTATAGTGCTAGCTCACTGAGATACCATGCCGCAGTTTAACATGAATACCCCACTCAGACACAGTAACATCTTTTAATGTCTTTTGGTTTGACGTGGCCTGGGATTGAACCCCGGACTTTCTGCTCTCTGGGCAGCTGCTCTACCACTAGACCACGGAGGCGGTCTGAATCTAGGTCTACAGTGTACTGTCATAGAGCCTTCCATTTCAAATAACACTATGAAAAGTAGTTTATCCTGGAGAAATATACTGATATCAGTGTGAAAATATATAATTTGTTACAGGGTTATTCTACGTCGTGTTTCATAGATCCTTTATTGAGTGGTGACACTTTGGAAACTGAAAAGTAATAGTTACTGATGTGAATCGTAGTTGCCATTTTTGTTTACAAATTGATGTGTTAGTATCACGTGATTTTCATATGTGTTTTCATTGGTTTCGTGCATACAACTTGTCGCATGAAAATAGAGCATCTCCTATTTTGTACAACTCATGTCCAACAAGTTGCATACGTTAAAAGTTGCCTGTTCACATGATGCAATGTGTTGCATGCAACAAATTGTATACAATTAGTTGTACTGTGTGAATGCCCCTAGTCGTCTGAGCCACCAGGGACAATCAAAGCAAGATATACATATGGACTTTTCACATAGGTGCAAGAAGAACTAAGAAAAGTGTTGCTGTAACTCAGTACTGAAACACACTTGTCAACTGGTTGTGTAACATCTGGGCAGACACGGCACCAGTGTAAACAGACAGGAGTTCCCATGGCGGCAATTTTGAAGTTTTGTTTGTGTTTAACAAGTTTCTGAATCCAATAGTTACCCCATTATTGTCACGAGTTTCAAAACTTCAACATGACAGACTTGGAGAGCATGGTAAACTTCTCACAAATCAAAACACCAGGTTTTCTTAATTTCAAGCTGAAGCTATGAGAGCTGGGTTGTTATTAGTTTTGTTATTGTGTTGCCACCAGAACACACACGACAAATGTGTTTGAAACCAGTTAGTGCCAAAAAATCTTTGAGTCTACTGGTATAAACTGATAATTTTTCAATGTCAGCATATAACTATAAGTCGGAATCATACAAAGGTCTCTGGAGATTCTTGATGATTATGGAAAGATTTTATTGCTTTATCTAATATTATAATAAAGTTTTACCAGATGGTGCTTCAGAATAGTGTCACAAATCACAGACTATGTTTAGAAACATACTTTGACCATACATTTTTAACCTTGTCCTCATGACAATAACCACCGCTCAGACCATTAAAACAGTCATTGTGAAAAGTTTTCTTTTATATACGAGTACATATAATAAATCTTAGCTTGTTTGAACAAAAAAACAGAATTAATGAAAAAGTGATTGTTGGTGAAACTGGCAGGATTCCATCAGACAAAATAATTGTTCAAAATTGGATAAACAATTAAGCAGGATGTCTGCATCAAACTGCCATGTACAGATTCACCCGTATCATGATACAAATCAAGTAAAGAGATTCTAACTTCTCACACCCCGTGGCCGTGACGATGAACTTGCAGTTATTCTGACAAACCCACTACAAGGAGTTATGAGAGAGACTCTTAAATAAACCTTACAAGAGAATTTAATAACAGGGCACATTCATCAACTCTTCAAAGCAAACCATGATATAGTTAAAAACTCCTCTGTCTCCAAGTGGTGGTGTCAGTAATGAGAATGCAAACAGCCAGCATCATCAGTGAGTGAGAGAGGGGAGTCAATAATCTCTGTTTACATGTGTAGTTGGTAGCGGAAACAACAAGACGAGTCTGAAGCAGAAGAGGAACCTTTTACCAAGACGAGTGAAGCAGGAGGGACGGCTTCTACCGGCACTTGCTCGTATCATTGATTGCATGGCTGGAAGGTCCGCCCTGGCCCATGTATTAGTGTAGTTACAGCACTCCAAGCAAGGTGCCCCATGGGTGTGGATTAATAAACGTCACTGACAAGGTCTTATTGAAAACTCTCGGGCAAAGATCAAGTGTGGCACCTTTTTCAGATCAGAAAAAAATTCTAAATCAGATACTTGAATTTTCTGTGAAAAAAGAAAAAGTTTTTGTGAAAAGTGCTTGTGTTTTGTGTTTGCTGCACTGTGTGGTTGTGAGATACCAGTGCTACTCAAGACAGACATGAAGAAGCGGATAGGCATGTAATTTGCTGTGGTGGCCTGCTAGGACTACAGGCAATAATTACCTCTGATGATACACAAGTCGGCCTGCTTAGGAAACACACACAATTCCATGTTCTCTCCTTCATGGAAATCAGATTTCTAGGGATCAGAGACAATTTTCTTCTAATTTTGTGCCTCAAGAGATGCCAGCACTGATGAACTGTTCAGGTAAGGGATTTGTCTGATACATTAATAGCTGTTTCTAACTCAATTATCCTCTTAAATATTTAGCCTTATGATAAAGTATGATTTGTGGTCATACTTATTCAAAGTGCAAACTATTTTTATGACAGATCTAAAAGCATAATAAATATAATTTGCAAATATAACGTTTTCTCAAAGAAAGTCTTCATGTGTATTCCATAAGATCGCAAGGACATCATGTCTTTAATCGTAAACATTAAAATACCCAATGAATATTAGTTAAAAATTTGTCTTGACATTTTAGTAACACTATTCATTGGTTTACCCTTTTGCATAAACACATATCACAAACATGTCAAATATGCTTTTATTTGCAACATTTTTAAAGACTTACGTAATCCAAAAGATGAACTTTTAATATTGTTATGTCAATAAGAAATAGCCCATTATAACATGCATAATATCCATGTGTGAAAGTGAAAGTGTACACTTATGGTGTAATGTATATTCCTGGTTCTTGTGCAGCTAAAACACCATCATTTCCAATGCATATTGATGGTACAGGGTGGTTTTCTACTGATACTTCATGAAAATATATTCAAAATACATATATGGATATGAATAAACACAAGTCAGGAACATGTGGCATTGTGGAACTTGCAACACATGGCTCTACTTGCTGTCAAAGCAAGAAGACAAAGATTTATGGTACATAAACACCCACAGGGGGCAGGGTACAAAGCATGAACATGACTAGTCATAATGAAAAGTTATAAACATTGACATACACAATGGTATACAAATGTTATCAAGGTCTAGACAGGAGATGCAGATGTTCTCTGCATGAACATTTTGTAAATGAAATAGGAGATAATTTTTGAAGAAGGCGCTGGTGGATCTAGAAGTATTTTAAGTGATATTGGGTGCAAAGCTAAGGCGGGTGATGATCTTAGTTCTAGTCTCAGGTCTTTGTAGAGAGGGCATTGCAACAGGAAGTGTTCCTCATTTTCAGAAGGTACATATTCTTTCTGCTGCTGCTAGGTTGCATTGTGTCCAATCTGGCCTAGCTATAGCAATGGTACCAGGTAGGACCAACAGGAACTACTGTAGTGACACTGTGGTGACACTGTGGTGACACTGTGGTGACACTGGAAGAATACTTAATCCTCGTGGATCTTGTGTTAATTTTCATCATCAGTTTGCATTCTTCACATATAGGTTGAGAGGGAGAAATAAATAATGGGTACCCGGTAGGGTGGGTACCCCAGGCAGGATGAGTAGGTAATGCGACTGTTGACGTTCTAGCGCTGCACAGGCAGCTTGTTTGTATACTCCTCAGGGAGCTGAGAATGAAATCGAGTGCACACTGATCCATTGACCAGGGTAATAATAATGTAGCACTATGCCCCTGTCATGGGGAAATATACCTAAATATAAACAGCATTAATAGGATCCTAGAACACATAAGGGACACAACTTTGCACAGCAAATTGCAGCATCTTAGATAAGGTGAAAATGAGGCAATGATAGCTCTAAGGAAAGTTATTCCATTTCAACAGATGTTGATTGTGTGTTTGTTTTTGTTTGTTGTTTAAGAGCAATATTCCAGCTTTTTGACAGCTGGCTGTCAATAATCAAATCTGAACCAGACATTCCAGTGATTGACATCATGAACATCAACCCACACAACTGGGATATGATAATATGCATCAACCAAGTCAGCAAGCCTGACCACCTGATTCCGTTAGACACCTCTTACAACAAGCATAGTCGCCATTTACGGCAAGCATGGCTTGCTGAAGACCTATTCTAAACCAGATCTTCACGGGTCTCCAAGAGATGTAAATACTGACGTATGGAAGCCTTTCTGTGCCAATTACTTCCAAATTATAAGTAATCAATTTGCTGCATGTTAGAAATATCCAAATCAAAAGTTCACTTGTACATAGTATAGAAATCATATGGCTCCCATTGTGTCGTCATCCTTAATGACACTATTGACTGTTGTTATTATTTTACTTTTGGTTACAAATATATTGTCATTGTTCACCGTTAAACTGAGGATGCACTCACTAACTTCACTCACTGACTAACAGTGATCAAACGGTAATTGATAACTAGTATCTAACAGGTAATTGACGAACAGTGATCAAATGGTAATTGATAACTAGTAACTAACAGATATATGTAATTGACGAACAGTAATCAAATGGTAATTGATCACTAGTATCTTACAGATACATGTAATTGACAAACAGTGATCAAACGGTAATTGATAACTAGTAACTAACAGGTAATTGACAAACAGTGATCAAATGGTAATTGATAACTAGTAACTAACAGGTAATTGACAAACAGTGATCAAATGGTAATTGATAACTAGTAACTAACAGGTAATTGACGAACAGTCATCAACAGGAAATTCACATAAAGTGATTAACAGGTAACTGTTGTCCAACTTACTCCTGATTCCTTGACGTTTGATTCTCAGAGCTAACTATCAGGAAGAAAGAGGACATGTTAGCATTGATCTCCTCCAAACTTGGAATCTATAACTTGGCACATTCTAAACAAGAGTAATCCTCAACTATACATGTTTTCATGATGTTTTCTAAAAGATCAATTGGAGATGTTTTTCATGACATTTTACTAACATCTCTTTAATATCAATGGGAGACATTTTTCATGACATTTTACTGAAAGCTCTTTAAGATCAATGTCAGAGGTTTTTCATAATGTTTTAGTGAACATTTCTCAAATATCAATATGATATATGTTCAAGACATTTAATAAAAATCTCTCCAAGATCAATGTGTGATGTTTTTATGATGTTTTATTATAAAATCTCTCAAAGATCAATGTGTGATGTTTTTATGATGTTTTATTATAAAATCTCTCAAAGATCAATGTGAGACAATTTTGTGACATTTTTCTGAAATCTCTCACAGATCAATGGCAGATGTTTTCAGGATGTTTTTGTTTAATCTCTTAAAGATCAATGCGAGACCTTGTTATGATGTTTTATTAAAATACTTTCAAAGATCAATGTGAGACATTTTCATGACGTTTTTTTTTCAAATTTTCTCACAAATCAATGAGAGATGTTTTCACAAGGTTTTACTAAAAATCTCTCAGGGATCAACGCAAGACGTTTTCATGACATTGTATAAAGTTTTATAAAAATGATCAATGAGGGAAAGAAGATTGTATTTCATCTGCTGTCATAATGTGAGTGCTTCTACACACGCAAGGTACTCCCATGGGGCTCCATCAATTCTCTTGTTTTTCAATGTTGGTTTTGAATCAATAATTACAATGTCGTTTTTCAAACAACAGGCCCAAACAATTTTACTTCTAGTTTTACAAAATGTTCAAGTCAAAATGTCGGGATGCATAAAGCCCAGTCTAAAAGAGACAAAGTGTCAAAGTTGTCAATGAAGAAATATTTTAATAGAAATAACAATAACAAGAAGGTAAAACTGATACATTAGGATTGACGTTACATTAAGTGTTCTATGATCTTTGACCTATTTATTTCAAAAAGGATTTGATCTAAAAGTTAAAACACCCAACAAGTTGAAAGAGGTATATTTACAATCAAACACAGTGTTTTGTCGTTGTATTTTTATAAGGGCACAATAATTTATAAAACGAGAAAATAATTTTTTAAGTTCATTCATCCTAAATACATATAGCCATGTCACTGCATGGTGCATGGGGGCTACACACACCAGCTTAGCAGGATGGAAACCTGGTGGAGGCAAAACATTTCTTATCTTGAACTGAGAGAGACCAAAGGGAGAAGTAAGATAAGCTGAGATAAGCGTTAAAGCAGAAGGATTCCTATAGACATGTACTCTACAGAGGCTGGTCTTTTAATGTAAACAGAACTGGTTGTGTGGTCAGCAGAAACACCTACACTGCACAGAATCTTCAGAGCAAGACATGCATGGGAGTACTGGGGACCCTAGCCTTGCTCCAAGGCTGTACTGAAAGAAAAGTCGTGTGTTGTAATTCTATCCTCCTAATAGGCAAGTCTAGATATGTGGACAGTAAGGACTGCAGTCTCTTATAGGGACAACTTGTTCTTATTATTTACATAATCTAGAACATATGATTTAAACTAATAATTATTGCCATAGAGACTTGTGCAAGTCTATCGGGGCTCATTCTGGCTGAAATCTCCATGGGCAAACATGCACACAGCAAGACGTACATGGGGTACTAGATCTCCACAGCAAGACAGATGTGGGGTAATGGATCACCACAGCAAGACAGACATGGATAACTAGATCTCCACAGCAAGACAGACATGGAGAACTAGATCTCCACAGCAAGACAGACGTGGGGTAATGGATCACCACAGCAAGACAGACGTGGAGAACTAGATCTCCACAGCAAGACAGACGTGGGGTACTAGATCTCCACAGCAAGACAGACATGGAGTACTGGATCTCCGCGGGAATACGTACATGGGGTACTAGATCTCCACAGCAAGACAGACATGGGATACTGGATCTCCACAGCAAGACAGACGTGGGGTACTGGATCTCCACAGCAAGACAGATGTGGGGTAATGGATCTCCACAGCAAGACAGACGTGGAGAACTAGATCTCCACAGCAAGACAGACATGGGGTACTGGATCTTCACAGCAAGACAGACATGGAGTACTGGATCTCCGCAGGAAGACGTACATGGGGTACTAGATCTCCACAGCAAGACAGACGTGGGATACTGGATCTCCACAGCAAGACAGACATGGGGTACTGGATCTCCACAGCAAGACAGACATGGAGAACTAGATCTCCACAGCAAGACAGACATGGAGAACTAGATCTCCACACCAAGACAGACATGGAGAACTAGATCTCCACAGCAAGACAGACGTGGAGAACTAGATCTCCATACCAAGACAGACATGGAGAACTAGATCTCCATACCAAGACAGACATGGAGAACTAGATCTCCACAGCAAGACAGACATGGAGAACTAGATCTCCACAGCAAGACAGACATGGAGAA